CTAGGTCTTCGAAAATAAAGTATGATCCTTCTGCCATATTCGATACATATTATTGCCAGGACTTCCAGTATAAAATATAATCCTTCTGTCACATTTGATTTATGTTAGTGCTAGGACGTCCAATGTAAAATGTGATCCTTCTGTNGTGTGTGTGTGTATGTATGTGTGTAAGGAGTAGGCCATAACATCCTGCCCTTGCACTGGGACCTTCAATGATCTAACTGGTGTATATGATGAAACCTATTTTTAAAATATTTATGAAATTTACGCATAGCGTAAGCATTCTGTCGCGTTTTTTATTTATATTAGTGCTAGGAGTTTGTAAAGTACGATCCTTCTGCCACGTTTGATTTATATTAGTGCTAAGACTTCCAGTGTAAAATATGATCCTTCTGTCACGTTCGATTTGTATTAGTAATAGGGCTTCAAATGTAAATTATGATCCTATCAAGTTTGATTTATATTAGTGCCAGGACGTCCAAAATAAAGTATGATCCTTCTGCCTTATTTGCTATATATTAGTGCTAGGACGTCCAATGTAAAATATGATCCTTCTGTCACATTTGATTTATGTTAGTGCTAAAGGACTTTACAGAAGTTACAATGATTGCCGTAAAGAAAAAGACAAAAGCTACAAAATGCAGCGACCATCGCACAATAAGTCTTATTGCACATACAGCAAAGATACTAGCAAAGATACTTAAAAGAAGAATTGAAAGGAAAATAGAGGATGTACTTGGAGAAGATCAGTTTGGATTTAGAAGAGGAAAAGGAACCAGGGATGCAATTGGGATGATGAGAATTATAGCGGAACGAACTTTGGAGATAGATGAAGAACTGTGTGTTTGCTTCATAGACTGGCAGAAGGCATTTGACCGGGTAAACTGGACCAAATTAATGCAGATCCTGAAAGAAACAGGTATCGATTGGCATGAAAGAAGATTGATTAGCAAATTGTACATGGATCAGAAAGTTAGAGTACGACTGGACACGGGGGAGACAGGAAGTGTGCAGATTGGAAGAGGAGTTCGACAAGGATGCTGTTTATCACCAATTCTGTTCAACTTGTACAGCGAATGCCTTACCAAGGAAGCTCTGGATGGGCTCGGTGACTTCAAAGTAGGAGGGCAAATTATTCAAACTGTGAAATATGCAGATGACCTTGTGTTAATGGCTAAGGAAGAAACTGTGCTACAGGGCATGATTGATAGACTAATTGAAATTGGAAGGTGCTATGGCATGGAAATGAATGTGGAGAAAACAAAAGTAATGAAAATTTCGAGACAACCAACCCCAGTCACAATAAAGATAGACCAAAAACAAGTGGAGAATGTGAAATGTTTTAAATATTTGGGTAGCTTGTTAACAGATGATGGAAGGTGTACTTGTGAAATTAAATCCAGGATTGCCATGGCAAAAGCTGCATTTAGCAAGAAGAAGAATCTTTTTACCAGCAAATTGGACTTAAATTTGAGGAAGAAACTAGTGAAATGCTACATTTGGAGCATAGCTCTGTATGGGGCTGAAACATGGACACTTAGGGCAGTAGATCAGAAACATCTGGAAAGTTTCGAAATGTGGTGTTGGAGAAGAATGGAGAAGATCAGTTGGACCGATTATGTGAGAAATGAAGAAGTGTTAATTAGAGTCAGTGAGCAGAGGAATATCCTACATGAAATAAGAAAACGGAAGGCTAATTGGATTGGTCATGTTTTACGCAGAAACTGCCTTCTAAAAGAAGCTATCGAAGGAAAGATAGATGGGCGGATAGAAGTGACAAGAAGACGAGGAAGAAGACGTAAGAAGATGCTGGATGACCTTGGGGACAGAAGAGGATACTGTCATTTGAAGGAGAAAGCTCTAGATCGCATTAAATGGAGGAATTGTTTTGGAAGAGACTGTGGACCTGTCGTCTTGACAGATTACTGATGATGATGATGAGGACGTCCAATGTAAAATATGATCCTCCTGTCACGTTTGATTTATATTATTGTCATTTAGTATCATGTCTTTAGCATTTTAGTATACAGAAAAACGCTGTAAATTATAAAATTCTTAATATAATTTAATTGAAAGAAACAAACCACCGAAAAATATTATGGAACAAATCGAAATTTAAGAAAACAACGACACCAGCACTACCTCTTACGAAATACAAGAATGTACAGTTGTGTTTCATGTGGACATCTATACGTGGAACCCGTAACTAAATCGTAGTCCTCTAAACCATACGGACACAATCGCTATCTGTTGGCCGAAGTAGGAAACTTTACATATCGACTTTCCACGTACAACCCACCGATGTAGGAAGTGGGGATATTCATCAGGGTTTATAAACAGTTGCATTTTGGTGTGGCTTGTATTTAATACACAAAAAATAATGAGCAGAACAGTCGCAAGCAATTTTAAAGTATTCTTAAGTGAAATATGTGATGAAAATCCTGCAGATTTCTATCTTCTGGGATATAACGCCGTATTATTTAGGTGAAATATGTGATGACAATCCTGCAGATTTCTATCTTCTGGGATATAAGGCCGTAAAATCCGTTGGAAGTTAACAGACATTCCTGAGGAATCTGTAAGTCTGCTTGCTACCTGTTCCGTCCTGATTTCTTGCTTGGCTCATTCTTCGACCCTAAAGATGTTCCTCCGAAAAGTCGGTTGACATTAACAGACTACACGACTTTATATGCCAGTAGATATAACTCTTCATGACTACTTGCTTGTAGGCCTAAATAAGGCCACACCAACGTTCTTTTGCGGCAAGTGGACGGAAGTGAAAATGGCGGACGTGAGACTACCGTGACATGGCCACCCGAAAGAAATATAGTTGTAGTGCGTCATATCATCCCGCTGTTCATACTCGGGGCACACTCCCTAAAGCGAGAAATATATAGGAGCTGCCGAAACCCCTCCCAAAATCATTACCCATTAAGATGGCAACTTAAATATGTACCGAAACAAAGCACACGCAACATAATAAACTGACAAAGACGACTTCTTTAATCTGCAACCAGATATATGCCGGGTCAGAGGCGAAGCCCCCAATTTAAAGACTAAGAATGATAATGTGCTGCCTGTCAGGGCTATCGTACACAGGAGCGGTCGCTGGATAAAAGAGAATGGAGAAATTGTGGGGTGAATATTATGAGGGCGGACAGAATAAACATGAAGAAAGCCCGTGTAGACTTCTAGGTGAAAACGGTAATTTCCGAGAATCGTGTTGCCTCCATCTTCAGGGCGGAAATGAGTTCAGTGAGGATGCAGTCTGGTCCTATAAACAGGTTTCAAGGAAGGCCGACATTCAGATCCACAGAAGGGCAAAATGAGGCATAATAAAGCCAAGAGTGTGTAAAACATAAATTAATTAATTTCAGTTACGAAACAAAATAAATAATTCCAAACTTATAACAGGAATATATTATGCAAGTAAACGGAAATTTCGGAGGAAATTACTGCCTCCATTTTCGGGTCGAATGTTAGCAAAGCAAACCATCTAGCCCTTTACTTATTTGCTTTTTGCTGATATTCACTGTTTTCACCTTGCTGATTCCTTTCTTGGCTTAATTTTCAGCCTTGAAGATGTAGGCGGTACGTTTATTCTAAATGTCTATAACCTTCTACCACACTACACGGTGTCACATCGCAGTTGATAACACTCCTGATCTTTACCGCTGGTGTGAATCTCAAATTCAGCAATTTCCAACTTCTGCCAATTTCTGCATTGAATTTATCTAATTAGATATCAGGCAAGAGTTTGAAGCCGATTTAAATGTAAAACTCCGTCTAGATCCGCCGGTGGCGTTGGTTTGAGTAACTACAAATGGGGCTATTTTAAAGAAATAGTTTCATCCGTCTGAAGTAGGCAAACATTGCTATGACAACAGTACTACAAACTTTTATGCCCTTAGGTAAGGAAAAACTACCCCTGTAACGGACCGTCCCTGTGGTCTAGTGGTCAGAGTTCCTGGCTACAGATTCTGAGATCCTGGGTTCGACTCCGAATGCTATCGGATTTTCAGAGAAGTAGTGGGTCTGGAACGGGGTCCACTCAGCCTCGTGAGGATAATTGAGGAGCTGTTTCAAGGAAATAACGGCTCCGGTCTAGAAACCCGAGATTAACGGCCGTGGGAATACGTTGCGCTGACCACGCGACACCCTCTATCCGCTAAAGTTGGCATTAACTTCGCCGACAAGCGACGGTCGCTCGGTCGGTATATTTCGCTTGTGGACTACAGGCCAAGGAGTTTAGCCCTGTAACAGGCCTTGGAGGCCCATAGGGTTGTGAGACGTCGAGGTTCCCAAATTTTCTACACAATCAGCTCACAGATGGCGGTAAGGTTGTCAGCCTTACACGCCGACTGCTCTTTAAACCCCAGGAAGATTCCTGGTACTCATTTCTGTTAGCGGCTGAGTCGATCCCAGGGCCATAGTGCGGTTGGAAAAATCAGATCAATTAAAAAATCCAGTGACCTCATCGGGAAACGAACCCGCTAGCTTCCGGCTTGTACAACTTCTAGAAAATTATTTTGGATATTCTTAAATAACTTTTATGGGCATTAGGATTTAAATGCTGCCTTCTGATACGGAGCTAAATCCAACTTAATACAAAATTGTGTCTCTACGCCGCGAACTACGATCGAAGGAATGCAACAGTACAAAATTCATGATGAGAAAGCGGCGTAAAGAAAAGAAGTATAGAAAGTAAGTAGAGCAGATCTTCCATTATTTTCTGTCGCCCGCCGAGTAGAAAAGAGGATTTGGCGGCAAAAGGAGACGACCTCGGGGAGAACGCCAAGAACCGGAGAAAGCCAGGGACTCACCTTAACTCAATCACTTCAAGCACTGCGACCAGCATCTCGGGTTTTTCAAGGGGAATCTTACACCTCAGGTTCCGTTCTCTGTCTTTTTCACTGTTCGCTTGATTATCTATTTTCTCTCCCCTTTCCTCTGTCCATCCAGAATTAATTTTCTTACTCTCTTTGGGCTATACTTCATAGCATAGAACGAATACCAGAACTGGATCTTTGTGGAACGAACAAAGAGGCTTATCGATTATGAGATGAAATTGAAATCGTTTCATGAAGAGTGCTATAGTCTTGCACGGGCCAAAATGTAGCCCGATAGTAGCTCACCGGCGTTTCGTAGGAATATACTACCTCCATCTTCAGGGTCTAAACTATGTAAAGCAAGCAAAGAGCAAGAGGCAAGCAGTAATTGGGTCCTTCCATCTTACTGTAGATTGCCTTGCCTACTCTTCGACCCTGAAGATGGAGAGAGTACATTCTACTTCTACCGGACTACACGGCGTCACATCCCGGGAGACGGTACTCTTAAATCCTGATTGATATTCGTATTGGAAATATTTATTCACTAAAACAATATTTGAAGATCACAGTCTTCTGGGTTCCAACGTTGTGAATATCGGAAAACGTCCGATGTTTCGGATGAAAATTCTGCCTCCATCTTCAGGGACAGGAGTAAACAAAAATATAATCTAGGAAAGATTAGGCGGCAGTAATACTCGTAGTTATCGATGTGAGAACCTGGTTCCCAAGAATGAAATGAAATGTCGACACAAAACTGGTATAAACACAGCATGCATTTCCATGTACTACATGTTTCGCCATCATCGCCTGTACAATCACCCTCCCTTCTATCTGCTAGACCTCCCTACACTGGACAGTGTTTACATATTTTGAGTGAGTGGTACAGGTACGCTCTTAATACAATACCCCCCNATGAAATGTATAAATAATCTCTCACTCACTCATGCAGCTGAGCCCTTCTTAAGAAGCCGCCAATTGTGAAGCTACCCAAGAAATTCCCAGCATTTTATGGATCCCGAATGTTTATTACCATGTTCACAAAAGCCCTTNATATAATCTAGGAAAGATTAGGCGGCAGTAATACTCGTAGTTATCGATGTGAGAACCTGGTTCCCAAGAATGAAATGAAATGTCGACACAAAACTGGTATAAACACAGCATGCATTTCCATGTACTACATGTTTCGCCATCATCGCCTGTACAATCACCCTCCCTTCTATCTGCTAGACCTCCCTACACTGGACAGTGTTTACATATTTTGAGTGAGTGGTACAGGTACGCTCTTAATACAATACCCCCCCATTCGTGCTACATGACCTGCCCGTCTCATTCTCCTTGACTTGATGTTTCTAATTATACTTGGAGAAGAGTACAAGTTATGAAGCTCCTCATTATGCAGTTTTCTCAAACCTCCTGTCACTTCATCTCTCTTCGGTCCAAATATTCTCCTCAACACCCTGTTCTCAGACACCTTCAGTATATTTCCCTCCCTTAATACCAGAGACAAAATTTCACACCCATACAGAACCACAGGCAAAATTATAGTTTTTACATTCTAATTTTCAAATTTTTAGACAGCAGACGAGAAGACAAAAGTTCTGGGCTGAATTGTGCCAAGCATTTGCATTAAAATATTGAAATTTTAAATTTTTAAAAATAGTTAAATAGTCTATTTGGAATTAAAATTGAGTAATTGTTAATACATACATATAATGTGACGTGCTATATGACGTCCATCGCTGCGCAACGGCTGCAATGGGAACACATACTTCAGCCACAACGAATACATGGAAATTGTAGTTCTCAAAACGACGAATGGAATACCAACAGCCCGTTGCGTAGGAATATCCGTCGCAACGAATTGTTGAAACATTGGGAATAATGAATTCCCCCGGTAACAAGCATAGAACACGTGGAATCGAACCCTGGGAGAAGGTGCTCTCTATTGCGTCCGAGCTCACGATATGACAGTCCAACCTCGGCCAGTTTATATTCAGTTTGTATTACCACCATTCCTAAAGTAACACTGGCTCTGACTCTGACTCTGATTCTAGCAGGAAGAGTTCTTCAACAAGGGACCAAGACACTTGATCGAGTGTGGAGGAGATTGGCCAATAAACTTGTTCGTTAATCCGAGACCCGCGTGAATTTATTTGTCCCGTTATATAGACAACAGGTTATAATTAATATCGTTTTGCTTTGGGGTGGTAGAATTTAGGCGGTGTTCTTCAATTTGTGTTATGGATTTTCGTGGCATTCTTTTAAGATCTGAAATATGAATGCGCTATCAGCGTATGTATTATACGGTGCCCTACGTTCTGTGTATGTTGGCCTACGTGTATGTGATGTGTTGTTCTCGAATTCTTTTCTCTCCATGGCCTGCCCTGTAATACAAATTTTTGTTAGCATATGGGTATGTAGTTGTTTGTGTGTTGGAATTTTGGACTTTTTAAATGTTTTCTTACCTTATTTGGAGATGTACTTGATGATGGCCACAATAGGACGAAACATGTAGTACATGCAAACGCTTGTAGCGTTTACACAATAATTGTATTGACTGTATAACAATACATAATAATACAGCATAATATTTACAAGAATTATACTCGTATATTCAAAATTTGTGAGGCATGGAGTACCGTAGTTGGTTGAGGCACTATGCTACAAGTCGGAAGGTAGCAGTTTCGGTTCCCGATGAGGTCATTGCATTTTTTCAATTGACCTAATCCTTTCAGCCGCACTATGGCCCTGTGATCAACTCAGTCTCTAACAGAGAAATGAGTACCAGGAATCTTCTTGGGAATAAAGGGCGGCCGGCGCTTAAGGCTAACCTCACCGCTATCTGTGAACCGATTATCTAGAAAATGTGGGAGTCACGACGTCTCACAACTCTATGGGTCTCCAAGGCCCGTTACAGGGATAGCTTTCCTTCTAGAGTAGATAACGNNTATTACTGGAAATGTATCGTGATCTATAATATCGTATTTCATCGTCTGGGACGTGCAATACGATGTTTACGTTGAAAATTTCTAGATTCTGGCAGAAACAAGAAGTCCGGAGTTATAACATTTACGATCAGTCATAAATTATCTCGGGTACAGGGAACCGGACGCGCCTAAAAGGACAGGTCAGAGCTTGTTACAATTGCCTGTGAATGAGGGCCAGTATGATTGGGTTGCCTCGTTCAAGCTTCCCACGGAAGATTGGCTGAAAATGTATATGTCAACACCATCTTTCGAATTCCCGGCGTGGGGGTGCAAGCCATTCCACAAAAGGAGAGACTTTCACAATATTCCGAACTGAACGGACGTGACCTTTGCACGCTCCGAGACATAGCTTGCCGATAGTAACGCGGCAACGTAAAGCTAAGAATACATTATTTTAACAGTGTGGTGAATTAGCATGTGAATAAACGTCAATTGGCTCAACTCTCAGAAAAACGCTTTCTTCGGCATCGCTACCCTGAGACTCATGCAAACCGACCCAGCTAGTTTCCCGTACCTATACCGATCTTCCTTAGTTTGATCTGTGAGGAGAACTTCCAGTAGCCATCGTACACTGTCCTAAGGTAGAAACAGGTGTAGCAGGGATAGCACCATTCCGACTGCGCCGATACAAGTACAGGCGGGAAGGAAAGGAGCGGTGTTAGGCTAACCTCACCGCCATATGTGGACCGATTATCTAGAAAATGTGGGAGTCACGACGTCTCACAACTCTATGGGTCTCCAAGGCCTGTTACAGGGGTAGCTTTCCATTCAGAGTAGATAACGAAGTAGTATGCGTGTAAGTATTTTGTTGGAGATTGTAAAGCAATTTTAACTTCAAACCTGAAAACGTAAGGGAAAACAGGAAGGCCATTAGATTTCATCTCCGTGGCGTGTATCATACTGCGGTATTTTGTACGGAATAAATTTCCACTATACCACGTGAAACTTCTGATTTTAAAGTAGACAAAGTTTTTAAATTATGAGGAATTCTTCCACGTCTACCGTATTATACGTGGTAAATGATTAGGAAAATTTCCCCGTCATTTCATCTTTACAACTCCCGCAATGTCTGGTGCCGTAAGCAACAAATAACCATTTGGAGACAGCTGTTTCTGTTTCGAAACTGTTAATGGAGGAAAACTTCCCTTTTGTATTGCCTTATATTGATACAGAAGTAAGTCCTTTCGTGGACATTAAGGACAAACTTTTCAGAACAATATTCTGAGACAAAGAGGGAAGTATCTAAGGGGATTTGAAACTGCCCCTGAAGATTAATGTTTACAATAATGAAGCAAACGGCCACAGGATTAATAATAATAACAATAAACCGAAAATACTCATGTACTTAGCTGTAACGTTGTAGACGCCTATTCGGAATGGGCTCTGTTTGAATCTCGAAAGGGCCATCGCTTAATCTGGCTTAAGTTCTACATGATTTTTCTCAGTCCCTCTAGACAAATACGAGGATAGATCCCCAATTAGACCATGCACACTTCTTTCCAAATAATTTCAAATTAGTCATTTATTACTCGTCTTAAGATTCGTTGCTATAAGTGGATATAGTAACGGCGTTATGGAATAGATCACAAAATAGGACTATACGAGTAATCGTTTTTTCAGCAAGGAGTAAATATATTCTAAGTATATTATACGATATTAATATAAATATATGAAAGTCTTTTTACTATATATTCATCAAGTCCTAATTAGACACTGAGTTAATGATGTGATGCCTGCTTAGGGCTGTCTCACACCTCAGTGGGCAGTGATATAAGAATATGGAGCAATGGATGAATGATGACTGACAGGAGGAAAACGTAAGAAATTAAAAGAAAAACGAACCTGCATCAGTGCCACTTCGTCCACCAGGGATCGAACTCTGGCCTGCACTGTGAGTAGCCGGAGTCTAAATGCCTGAGTTACGTCACGGAACCAAACACATTACGGCATTAATAGGGCCTCGATAGCTCAGTCGGTATAGCGACGGGCCACGGGCAGGACGGTTGGTGTTTCATTCCCGACAGGGAAAGTTTTCTTCTCTC